TCTTAGGACTCTTCAACATGACAAAAGAATCGGTGAAGTGAACACCTCCACCGATTTTTCTCCAAATCTGGGCAAGTCGCATGATGCATGCAGACATGAGCATCAGTGGACAAATCATTTTGTATTTTATATCGTTTTTCTAAATACTTTTCCGAGTTGGATTCCTTTCCATGATGGCAGCGGGCGGCTTCTACTATAGTTGTCGGTTTGTCATGGCAAGACAAATATTGCCGCACTAGGTTAAAGTTGGGATATAGCTATACAAACTATGTTATTAAATAGCGTCGGTTTGTACGTCATGCAGGTTGCCTTGTCTATTTATTTAGAAATATAATTTTAAGTTGCATAGATTATTTTAAAAATATATATGTAATTACTGTTAAACTCAGTATTGAAATTGGGTTCAATGTCGTCATACACACGGCGACTGATGGTTAAACCCATTAATCATAACAATTGAGATTAATTATGCATGTTAGCTAGTGTATCATTGTCTCTCTCCATGAAACTCTACAATCTAGTACTATAGTATATCTTGCAGTATATCCCATGTCCTCCAATTAGGCCGCTGTTTATATCTACTGTATGCCCTAACCGCTGGATTCGATATGATTGAGGAGTACTGGATTGAAACTATCATCGAACGAGAACATAATTAATTAATTAATTAATTAACATGTTGTAAAGGACACTACCTTTTTCCCCGGCCCATCTCCATCTCAAGAGGATGACAGCATGAATATGTTTTTCTTCAGACAAGATGCAACACAACACACTGAAAATATCTACATATATCTGTGTGCTATAATTAAACCACCCAATGCAAGGCCCCCTGTTCTAGAAGCTGGATCTTACGGTTGCCCTCTTGCAAAGAAATAGTTTTCTCGAGGGTATCATCTTTAGTGGAGTATGTGGAGATAGCATTAATTAAGCTGGTAATCTCAATTAACTAATTAGATGATCAAAGCCTTGGGACTATGGTACTGTTTCAATAAAGAAAATAAAAAAACATGGAAGATGTTTAGCCCCATTGGTTGTCCTAATAAGTCAAAACCAAAGAAAAAAATTTAAATTTTCAAACTTAATTTTAAAGTTGATTTTAAACTATTTGCAACGTAATTTTTTTCAGCATTAACTTAAGTCGCTAAAAACACATATATAAAAGTTTTATCTACAAATTAATTTTTATTTTTTAATAGTAAGTTGTTTTGGTTTATTAGGGAATATGAGCAACCAATAAAGCGGGTTAAAATCACACGGACCTTTTACTTCACCTCTGTCCTATGTCCATTGTCCATATTCATCTTTAAGATTGGATTTATTTTTGGACAGAGAAAGTACGTGCGTATATCAAATTTGACAAACTATTCATATCCGCAAGCAAATGCAGCCAAAATGGTGAGATTTGAGAGCTAGAGATCGCACGAGACACAGTTGCCGACTTGGCGTTCTCTTCTCTCCAACAATATCGCCACAACTATTTATTTCCAACGAAGAAAACGTACCTTTTCTATCACACAGGAACCGGGAGAATCTTTCCACATGACTGACGACTACTAATATTCTCTTGGAACATAATCTAATTAATCTAGTTTTTTAGCTCGATTTTTCAACTCGAAAAAGGAAAATTGGAAAAGGAAATCAGAGTGGCAGATCTCTGCCACTTTTCTCGAGGCAATCTTGCATATCACACCTCTACAAAACTAATATCCCAGTTGTCAGTGGTATAACCCATATTATTCAGTTAAAAGCATTCTAGAGTAGCTAAATGTTTACGTGGTTTCCACACAACTTTTGTGGTTTTTCACCATAATTTACTCCACTTCCCCCGAGACAATCTTAAAAAATCACATCCTCCACAAAATTAATACTCCTTCCGTCACATAATATAGCAATCTAATACCGGATGGGACATCTCATAATACAATAAATCTGAATATCCGGTTATATATTATGGGACGGAGGAAGTACTAGCTTCGATTTGTTTGTCCCTATAACCCAAATGATTCCGTTGGAAAAGCATACCCTACCAACATATCCAGTTTTTTTTTAAAAAAAAAACCAACATATCCAGAATTACAAAAGAAACAAACCTCTGCAGAGCATGCACGCTTGCTTCTGGAGACACTCATGACATGCAGTCTCCTTTGATCTGATCTTCACTCCATCACTGAACCTGAAAACGAAGTGGCAACAGCTCAAAAGGTAGACGGACAACTCACACTCCTATCTCCTACTTGAGCTTCTAGAAGCTTGTGCTTTTGCTTTGCTTGATAACCAGCTTAGCTTGGCTGATCATTTCATGCCCTTGGTGTGATCCACTGATCACTGCTGAGTGATGACTCAACACCAAGCGGCCCTCCTCCTCTCTAGCTAAGCTCCTTTTAGATCTGCATTGTGGGGCCCACTGTGACTTTTAGGTGGCCCACATGTGCCAAAAGGTACAAATAAAAAGAATTGTGGTTTGATTTGCTTCGTACTAGTCCATACTAAACCTCGGAATATTGTGGTATTGATTTAATTAGTAGAAAAATATTTTCGTATTACATGAAACAATTATCACACAAAGCTATATGCGTTATGCAAGGAATAAGTTTAAGAAAAAGGAGAAGTGGTGGTAATACAATTTATAGCTAATCCGGTTGGCAATGGATGAATTAAATAAATGGCTGATAAGGAGTTAAAAAAAATAGAACTTATAGCTATGAACCTAAACATGGTTTTGTTTTGTGAGCTTAAAATTCGGAGAAGCTACTGGTTTATAGTTAACATCTGTAAATCTAAAAAGAAGTTAGGTTTTTCCACATTCTGGCTTGTAATTCATTTTTTATCTACACTATTTATGAGAGTTAGAGAATATGGGGCTTTTAACTATTTGCCACACCTATCTCAATGACATGTGGGTCCACATGTATCTATGACATGTGGGTCCACATGTATCTATGACATGTGGGTCTAGTGGCAAATAGTTAATTGCCACATCTAAAAGTGGCATATATAGTTCAATATCTCAGAGAATATGGGAAAAGCTATAACTGCTAAAAGTCCCCTCTGATAGGTTCTAGGAGTCTATCAAGGGAGTTTCTGACGGTTGCAGCTTATCTAAGAATCTCCAGCTGCCAGAAGCTCCCCTAAACAGTCCAGGATTTCACTCAGAATTTTAGAATGTGTAGCCGTAGAATTTAGATACTATTAGTTAGAAACTAGGTTTTTCAGCCCAGATTATTAAGAGCTGACTACCAATTAATTACTCTTAAAATCATAAGTTTCCAACAGGGCCCAAGTTTGTGGTAGAAATTGGTGTCCCCATCATTTGGCTTATTTCGTAATAAGCCAAAACGGTTTATTAGGAAATAAAAATGAATTTGTAGATAAAACTTTTGTAAATGTATTCTTGGTGACTTAAAAGTCAATGTTGAAAAAGAAACTACGTTGAAAATATCTCAAAATCAATCTCAAAATTAAGCTTGAAAATTTAAAATTTAGTTTTTTCTTTGACCGATTAGGCCATCAGATAGGACCCTGGATTTTTCGACCAAGGGTAAGCAGCGTAGGCCCTGACCCTCTTAACAGCTGAACAAACCTGAACACTGAAGCAAGTGATGGAGACCATTCTCCTTCCACCTCACATGAGCTGTCCTTGTTGCCCAGCCTCCTCTCCTCTCCTCTCCTCTCCACCCTCATCCTTATCCTAATCCAAATCCACCTCCATCTCCATGTTCATCTCAAGCTTCTCAGTCCCCACACACCCCAGAAGCCTCATCACATTCACTGATTGCAAAAAAAAAAAAAAACAAATCACTCAAGGATAATTTTAAGATCACTGTCACTGATTGATCCTTTGCATCAGGAGGTTCTTTTATTGTTTCCATGGACCAAGTTTGGATGGCATCTTTTGGGGGTGGAAAATTTGGGTCCATAATATGTTTTTTCCATTGTCTGGATTTTATTCTGGGGGTGTTCAAGAAGAGCACCAAGTTGGACAAAGAATAAGTCTACAATGCCATCTAGTCAAATTTGGGATAAGAATTTAGAAACAGTGTGCTTTGCTGGTCTATATGGTGACAGCATGTGATTAATTTATTTAGTTTTCTTTGTGGGGGAGATTCGGATGCTGTTCTGGACTCTCGTTTTAAGCGCGCTGGAGATTTATATTAGTGGGACATCAAAATGGAATTTTTCAGGTAAGAGAATGCAAGCTAAATAATTGAAATAGAATTATTGTTATTTTTATTATTACTCATGCCAAGATGGACCGGCTAGTATCTCCTTAACTACTACTGTGGATAAATTCTAAGCGCTATAATTAACACCACTACGGTGAATAATTATTTTTAAACTTAACGATAAGTGAGCTGCTAATTAATTAAATCAAATAATATTAAGAGGAAAATGTTGTCATAAAAAGTCAGGCAAAATGAAATGGAGTAAAAAAAACACTCTCATTATAGGCACTGCAATAATTCAACAAAAGAATACAAAGGCCTTGTCAGGTTGTCATGGACTGTTCTACTATTATAGAAGTAGCAAGGAAAAATGAAGCCTTTCTTTTGGCCATAAAAATAATTAGACAGCAACTAATTTTTCAGGCAAAAAGGCACTTACTAGTCATTATCACCTTTTCCATAGTTCCATCATCAAAAACCACAAGATCAAGTTTTCCAGCTCGCTCTTTCTTTTCTTTTCATTTCCCTGTGTACTTGTTCTGATCTACTTCTACTCAATTACACCTCATCCTTGCATACAAACAAACAAAAAAAGTAAAAAAATGAATTTCCACTAATGATCATTACCTGTAATTCAAGCCCCTCTTTAAGCAACAAAATAAACTTTTTTTTTTATGAAGAGTTGCATGTTGAACCGGCAGAAAAACAGGCTTTCCAAACAGGTTGCTTTCATTTTTAAAATTTAATTTTCATTAAATTTCGTTAGCGGTGGAGATCCACCAATCAGAAGGCGCCACGTAGCCTTGAGTGAGCTCTATTTAAACCACTCCTCTCCCCCCAGAGAGAGGCGACCCACAGATCCAGAAGCAGCAAAAAAAAGAGAAAAAAATCAGAGAAAAAAAAATGAGGAGCCCGAGGAGCCGTGCGCTAGAGCGCGACGCCGGCGGCGTCGCCGTCGAGCACGTCGAGCTCATCCCGGGGATGCCCGACGACGTCGCCGTCGACTGCCTGGCGCGCGTCCCGCACGGGGCTCACCGGGCGATGCGGCGCGTGTGCCGCGGGTGGAGGAGCGCGGCGGCGACGCCCGCGTTCGCCATGGCGCGCGCCGAGGCGGGCGCCAACGAGGATTTGGTTTACCTGCTCCAGTTCGCGAACCCCGCGGCGGCCGCGGCGGCCGCGGAGGAGGCGAAGGAGGACGGCGACGCGCCGGCGAACTCCCCGGCGTACGGGGTGGCGGTGTACAACGTGACGACGGGGGAGTGGAGGCGGGAGAAGGCGGCGCCGCCGGTGCCCATGTTCGCGCAGTGCGCCGCGGTGGGGACGCGCCTGGCGGTGCTCGGCGGGTGGGACCCCGAGACGTTCGAGCCCGTGGCGGACGTCCACGTGCTCGACGCCTCCACCGGCGTGTGGCGGAGCGCGCCGCCGATGCGGTCGGCGAGGTCCTTCTTCGCGTGCGCGGAGGCCGGCGGGAGGATCTACGTGGCGGGCGGGCACGACAAGCACAAGAACGCGCTCAAGACGGCGGAGGCGTACGACGCCGTGGCGGACGCGTGGGACCCGCTCCCGGACATGTCGGAGGAGCGGGACGAGTGCGACGGGATGGCGACCGTCGCCGGCGACAGGTTCCTCGCCGTGAGCGGGTACCGCACGGCGAGGCAGGGCGGGTTCGAGCGCGACGCCGAGTGGTTCGACCCGGCGGCGCGCGCGTGGCGCCGCCTCGACCGCGTCCGCGCCCCTCCCTCCGCCGCCCACGTCGTGGTCCGCGGCCGCGTCTGGTGCATCGAGGGCGCCGCCGTGATGGAGTGGCTCGGCTCGCGCGGCGGGTGGCGCGAGGTCGGCCCCTCCCCCCCGGGCCTCAAGGCCGGCACCGCCCGCGCCGTCTGCGTCGGCGGCGGCGAGCGCGTCGTCGTCACCGGCGCCATCGAGGACTCCGACGGCGGGTCCGGCCGCCACGCCCTCTGGGTGTTCGACGTAAAGACCAAGAACTGGACCGTGGTTCGCCCACCTCCAGAGTTCGCCGGATTCGCCTTCTCCGTCGCCGCCGTCCGCATCTGATCCGATCCGATCCGCCATTGACGACGAACCCCGCCAAGATCCAAGATCTCGATCTGGATCCAGCTGCTCCGCCTCAAGGAGATCTCTACTACACACAACCAAATACTACTCTACTCTACTAGAACAGTAGTATGTGCACAAGAAAAGAATCACAAGGAGAAGAGAAGGAGAGGAAGCTAGTGGTGAGTTTGTGAAGCTCCTCTCCTCTCTCTATCTCTCCCCAATCTGTTGTTGTTGTGAGGATGATGATGATGATGAGTGTGGTGTTTTTGTCCAAGAAAACCATGGAGGAATCAAGGGGATGATCTTGGATCTCCTCCTCATCCTCCATCGTTCAACCATGGTTATGGTTATGAGTAGCAATAATCCAATCCATTGTACATATTATGACCAGCCGTTTGAGGTGCAGATTGCAGAGTCCATCTTTTGTCTCAAAATGAAACCATCTCGTCTTATGATTTCTTGAGAAATTTGAATCAGTTCTTGCTGCAAGAGAAACACAAGCTGTGGCCGGATTTGCGCCGGGATCTTGGCCGGTGTAGAGTGGTTGACATTGGCGTTTGGATCTGGAGGTTGTAGTTAATTGGTCGATTATTGGTAATTAATTAGCTGTGGAGCGTTGCGTGAGGCGATGGAAGCACGTCGCCATCGGCGAGGAAGGAAGGAAGGGAGATAAGGTCGGCACCGAGTAAACCTCACATTTGCTTTGCTTGATTGCTTCTCTTTTCGCCCTTCTTTTCCTTTTCGTTTTTGTTTTTGGTTCTCACATGGGAGATGACGAGATCCTCTCGTTTATGGACTTCTCCCTCTGTTTTTAGCTCCCCTATGTTTCATCGTATTGTATGACCCGTTTTGATTCTTTATACCATGTTGAAACTTTTAAAGTTTAACCAAGTTTCTTGAAAATTTTAGTAGCATTAGTTTCATTAAATCTAACACATATGTTTTGATAATACATTTGTTTTGGGTTAGAAATGGTATTATATTTTTTATAAACTTAATAAAACTGGTCTAGGAAAAAAAATTCAAAATAACTATAATATGAAACGGATATAGTATCTAAGTTAAGGTTTGTGATCTCGTTTTGCACCGTGTTTAGATCCCAATTTTTTCTTCAAACTTCTAACTTTTTCCATCTCATTAAACTTTCCTACTCACATAAACTTTCAACTTTTTCGTCACATCGTTTCAATTTCAACCAAATTTCTAATTTTGACGTGAACTAAACAGCCTTGGGGTCGAAAATGCTAAGCTAGTCAATGAATTTTTACATAGAGGGGGCCTGTTTTATAGGGCTTCTAACTTTAGCCCATCTACCCCTCTCCCGCTCACTCATATTAGGAGTCCTTTTAGTTTAGGTGATAAAATCTGGATAAAATTACATTCAGTTGCGGTGGAAATCAAAATGTTTTCATTGACGGACAGTTTTACAACTTTGACACAATCTCATGTTTTCTGCATTTCCTTGTGAAGGAGTACTTAAAAATACTACCTCTGTCCAAAAATAAGTGCAGTCATGGATATCCGTGCCCAACGTTTGATCGTCCGTCTTATTTGAAAAATTTGTGAAAAATTTAAAAATATTTAGTCACACATAAAGTACTATTCATGATTTATCATCTAATAGCAATAAAAATACTAATCATAAAATTTTTCTAAATAAGACGAACGGTCAAACGTTGAACGTGAATGGTATAAAACTGCATTTATTTTGGGATGGAGGGAGTAATAACATACAGTTTTTGACCTAAGTTACTTTTTTTTCTATCCTTGAAGCCCGTAGAACAGATTTTCCCTTCTGATCCAACCAGATGTCCACAGATAGTGCTAATGTGATGGAGCTATGCATTTACTAACATGAAGTAATCCATACTTCTGACGGTTAGGGGGTCGAGAGGCAGCCAACGGCCCAACCCCCTCTCTCTCTCGTTGCTTGGAAACGCAAGGAATTGATGAATCCAAGCCATTGAAACTTGTAAATAGCCAAGTGTCACACTCCATTGCCACATCAGTGATTTCCTTCATTGACAAGTTCATAGAGTATCGACGATGATATCGTCTGCACCGCGCGATCTCTTTGAACTATTCAGGACTATCGCGTTCGTAGTTGACTTCCTTTCCAAAGGTTTTGTTAAGATTTTCGGTGGCATGAAAATAGTTACAGTATTGTACTAGTCGGGCTGTGTTTAGATCCAAATTTTGGATCCAAACTTCAGTCATTTTTCATCACATCAACATGTCATACACACACAACTTTTCAGTCACATCATCTCCAATTTCAATCAAAATCCAAACTTTGCGCTGAACTAAACACAGCCTCGGTTTTGTGAGAATTTATATCATGAGCTATGCCGCCGTGGAGTTCAAATTCAGTGTTTTGGAATGTTCTATTTCAAGAATTTAGTTAGTCCCAAAACGCTCGTCTCGGATCGAGACTAAACTCAGGTTGAAACGAAAGACTAAAACTGGAGTATTTGTCACCATCACCCCCCGTTGGCTTTTCTTTGTATAACCATGATCCAAGCAATTTTAATTTCCCCTTCCATGCTTGGTCCCAAAGAAAAACAAACCTCCCTAAAATCAAAGAAAAAAACTAAAAAAAAAGGTAAACCTTCTTGCCAAGAAAATTGGGGGAGAAAAAAAAAGAAAAACAAAGGATAAGATCGAGAGAGGCAGCCATGACGGCGTCCATACTCCGCTGGCGGTTGATGCTGACAAGCTGAGGCACGCAGTTTTGATTTGTAGCGTCCGGAGAAGAAGAGAAGAGAAGCGACGACTTGGTTGTGAGGAATCATGCTGAGTTTGCTGACGGCTGTACGTTCCAGCTTAGGAAGAGGAGATCGACTTGATTTGTTGAAAGCTCCAGCAAACGAACTTGTCTGGATCACTTTGATCAAGAGGTGACATGGTGGATGAACAAGCTGTGTTCGATTAATACAAAGGTTCGGAAAATCGGAACCTTTCTACAGCGCACGAAAAACATGTTAACTTATTATTGCAAAACTAACTAATTATTAGCTTAAAAAAATTTAAAAACAAATTAATATTATTTCTAAAGCAACTTTTTATTTTTTTAAAAAAACGTACTTGCTCCGTTCCAAAATATAAGAGATTTTAAATAGATATGACACATCCTAGTACAATGAATTTGAATAGATGGTCCGCCTATTTAGATTCATTGTGCTAGGATGTATTATATCCATGCAAAACCCGAGGGAGTATTCTTTAGTAATTGGGGAAGTGTGCTTGTGGAAAGCGAGAGAACAAAAGTTGGAAAAATGCAGGTGAGAACACACCAAGCCTTGCAAGGTAGCTTAGCTACTTCTAGTTATTTTATACATTTTTTAAAATGCTAAACAATTTGGTTTTTTCAAAAGCTTTCTATATACAAGTTTTAAATAAATCAATCTATTTTTAAAATTATAATAGTTAATACTTAATTAACTATGTGCTAATGATCTTACTCGTTTTGCATGCATCTGCAGTTTAGCCTTGGCAATATGCTCAAACGATCGCAGCTTAAGTTTCACCCCTTGTGTTTGTCAGCTAGTTAGCGTTCTAAAAAATTTGGATTGCTAGGTTCATGCGTGTGGGGAGGCCCAACGGCATGTTGGTTTGCCACACCGAAAAAAACACGAGAAACCAGAGTCTTACTTTTGAAGTTACCGAATTCTGGGGAAGCTAAAAGTTGGTTAAAACTTAAATTTCAGTTGGAGTTGGGAAAGAAGAACATTTCCATCCATCACTCCATGAGAACAGCACTGAAACTGAAAGGAGTTCGTGCCCATCAATCCGTGCATTCTCATGGTTTAATTTCCATTTTCTGTTTTCTCCTCGACAGATAGGCATGGGAGATGCAACCAACATTTAATGAAAACTGGAAACAGCAAGCAATCCTCATGTATATATATATATATATATATATTTTAAAAAATTCTCCTTTGAATAACTAAACAATGTTATCGATACTAACTAACGGTAGCTATCAAATTATTTCAGTTATTTCAGCATTTTCGCAGCAGGTAGCATTAATCAGATTCTCTGTATGCATTTGTGTATTATCTCGGAAGTACTACATGTTGTTGCGAAACCTAATAGAGGAAGCTAGGCAGATGTGTGTATCAATCATTCCAATTAGCTTAAAATAAAATTTATTGTACAACCTTTCAGGTTCGAAAATTGAGCTTATCTCATCCGAACTTTTATTATACTGCAAGTTTTGTGTACTTGTACCATTCAAAGCAGAATTATTGTGCCTGATAGACCTGGACCTATAGGTTCCAATTAAACTAAACAAGCAATGAACCCTCGCTCAGCCCCAGGGCGACATGGGCAGCAACTCGAGGCTGCCCCGCCGCCGGCCTCCTCTCCCTCGCCTCCTCCGCCTCACTGCTACCTGAGCAGCCGCCGGCAGAGCCGGGTGGCGGCAAGGACGGCGGCGGCGGGGCCTTTCTACCCCCTCCAACACCCGGCGACTGGGGTTAATGGAATTTGGTGGTTCCTGTACAGCAGTACAACTAGCATGCAGTGGTGACATATATACACCCTGTTTAGATTCCAACATTTTTCTACAAACTTTCAACTTTTCTGTCACATCGAACTTACCTACACACACAAACTTCTAACTTTTCCGTCACATCGTTTCAATTCCTTCAAACTTCCAATTTTAACGTGGAACTAAACACAGCCATAGTCCACATTTCCTAACAAGAGTGTTGTTCCAAGGGCCTTTGCAGAAAGCTCCACATAACAAACTTCAATTGGGTAACTTGGTGGATGATAGGAAAGGATGAACATCGATCACCCCATAAAAATGCCACCTGATGCATTTGTCATATTGCTTCATGCATTTGGAAAGGCTCAACAACTTTGTCAAGTGAAAGCCTTGGCTGCTTGGCACCTGTTTGGCTCAGCCATACGAAGCACGTGAAGCCTTAACCTGAATTCTAGCATTACTTTAAACTGGGGGTGGTTAATCAAAATTCGGCTAAAAGCTAGAGACGTCAAGAAGCAGAAGATTCCTAAATTTGTAGCATCATTAAAAATTTAGTTCCCGTTAATTTGTAGCATCATTAAAAATTTAGTTCCCGTTGGTCTGTTGCTGCCAATATACGTGCAGTCAACACACCCGGCAGCGTAGATAGCTCCCGGGTAGGTCAGGCGACCGCCCGGCCTCCACAAGTCCACAGTTGTCTATCGGCGTATAAAAGAATCGGTAGATCATATAGAAATATCATTAGCCGCTCAGGCTCGATAGCGTCACTGGCTCCGCCTAGGCCCTAGCCAGTGGAGGTTCCCATCGGTTGCCCATTTGGCCCAAAATGGCTTATTTGGTTTATTAGAAAATTAAAATTAATTTATAAGTAAAACTTTTGTAGATTTGTTTGTAGCGACTTAAAAGCCAACATTAACAAAAACTACGTTAAAAGCATTCAAAATCAACTTCAAAATCAAGTTCAAAAATTCAAATTTTGGCTTATTATTTGGCTGTTTAGGCCAAACGATAGGGCAAGGAGTCTAGTGGAGTTCTATTGAACTCCAGTGGTAGAAATCAGATACCCAAATGCAACTCTACGGTGGTGTTTGAATCTTTTGAAAATGGATATGAAGATGAAGATAAAGATTAAGTATTTCACGCAAAATAAGATGGTAATAACATGATATTAATTGAGGTTTAATTATTACAAACTTGAAGGTCCTTGTTAACATGGATAACATGATATTAACATGGTAATAACGCCCCTTGTTACCCTAGTTGATAGAACCGGCCCATCTTGAAGGTCCAAACCGATGATAAGTAATTGAAATCAACTTCTGGCCTTGTTACTGTATTACAATTAAGGGAGAGATTTCATTTCTTACACTCCACAAATTGGGCTTACATCCTGGACAAAATAATCAATGTGGCAACGAAAAAGTGTCAAATTGTTGAGCTTTTGAGTACAAGCTTTGTGTATTTGTACCATTAAAATCAGAAATATTGTGCCTAACATGGTTAATAAGATATGATAGACGTGGATTAATTACCTATAGGTTCCAAATTAAGTTAAACAAGCAGCCAACCACCCAATCTAGACTTGAATTCCATGTCTATACCAGGTAAATAATCAGTTGGCAGCTGCCCAGTGTAATCGGTTGTTAGGCAGGTAGGCTTGCTACAAAGTTACAATTAAGCTCATTAATTTCATATAGTAGTTAATGGAATTTGGTGGTTCCTGCATACTAGCATGTATAGTGACATAGTGAACATTTCCTAGCAAGAGAGTTGTTCCAGGACCTTTCCAGAAAGCTCCACATAACAAACTTTAAGTGCATAACTCGATGGATGACAGGAAAGGATGGACAACATCACCCCATAAAAATGTCACCTGATGCATTTGTCATATAGTAATAAAAACAATTTGGATTGCTTCATGCATTTGGAAAGGCTCAACAACTTTTGCCAAGTGAAAGCATTGATGCTATATGTTTGGCTCATTAGCCATACGAAGCATATGAAGCCTAACCTTAATTCTAGCATTACCAAAATTGGAATGGTTAAAAGTTGGGTACTACCAAAGTTCAGCTAAAAGTTAAGAGAGTACAGAAGCAGGAGATTCCCAAAATTTTAGCACCATTAAAATTTTTAGTTCCCCTTGGTTTGTTGATGCATTGTGCATGCTGTGAACGCTTCATGCTGCCACTGGGGTTCTAGTGAACGATTCTTCCTTGTAGCAGAAATCAGATGCTGGATGCAACTCTAGATGTGCATGGGCTGGGCCAAGCTGTTGTTGGTCTCTGGATGGGCCCCCTTGTCTCCTAGTTGATAGAACCGGCCCATCTCGAAGGTCCAAACCAACGATAAGTAGTTGAAATAGACTTTTGGCATTGTTGGTTAATTACCTTACTATACCCCCTTCAGCTTGTAATGTTTGACGTTGATGATTTTTGGACATATGTTTGATCATTCATGCCTTCTGTTCCAACCGATGTTATATACGTGCCTATTTTCACTTGTCTTCCATTCCGACCGGTTGATTCCTCAACACGTATGTTGCCTCTCCATCACTGAAAATAATTAAGGAAATATAGTTAGGTAACCTTGCTAAACATTTAAATTACGCACTAGTTTACCATTCTAGTGCGGGATGCGAAACAGCAGCCCTTTGTGTTGGATGGACATCTTAAAAGAAAATGTAAAGTATCGCCAAGCTATTTCTTGAATGGAACTGCCAGGAATTTGCGAAGCATACTAGTATCCATCTGTTTCACCATTCAAGAATGACTTAGACTGAACTTGGACAGCATCGGTGTGTAATCACTTTAATCGTGCCATGCAGTGTAGCGTCGCGCGAACTACTTTATAGTACATGTAAACATCAATGGAAGGTTGAATATAGAATCAAAATTAGGAAATGCAGAGGAAGTGAAAACGAAGCAAGAAAACTGCCAAAAACCCTTGTTTGCTCAAATTTAACAGAACACGAAAATAGTTGTCGAAGCAACAAGACATCACATGAGAAGTAAGGACGCTAAGCTAGCAAGATTAAAACAATCACAATCGAGCTGCTGCATAAATATCCATGACTTCAACTTGCATTAGCATTATCAGCAATCAGATCATTTGTAGTTCTACCATTGACTGATGTCGAGATTTGAGAAAAATAGATGTTGCCATGACTAAAAAATCAACAGACAACTTCAGAGGATGAAGTGTTGCATTAGCTATAAAGCCAGAGAGACAACTGACCTCCGATATCTGTCTGTCTTAAGATGTTGAGTTAGACTTTGTGCAGGCGATTTGCCAGCATGAACAGCGGCATAGGCATCCGTGAGACCAGGAAGAGCATCCTCGTGGCGATCAATGTACCTCGCTACGAAATGTTCATTGCCAAAACAAACACAACTGTAGTAATCAACATCATTTTTTATCAACCCCTTCTCCACAAGGGCTTGTAGAACATAATGCCGCGGCGCCAACCGCTTGTCCAGGCTGAGCGTGAGCATCACAGGCCTCTGCAAGATGTATTCAGTCTCCAATTGGACCTTAGTGAGCAAGAACTCTATTTTGCCGCGAAGCGTCTTCTCCGAGAATCCTAGAATGCTCGGCTTCCTGCTGATCGCAGAGCGTAGCTTGTCCATGGAGCAACCAAGAGTGCCGCGCAAGAACTCCATCCTCGCGGCGATGGTGCCCTCGTTGTTACGGGCGACGGTGCACACGGCGTCCTTGAACGCCCACGATGAAGTGGGCACGCCGAGCTCCTCGGCGCGCCGCACGACAATCTTCAGTCGCTCTGGGTTGAACGTGAGCAGCCACGCGGCGGTCTGGGTCATCTGGACAATATCACAAACACCTAGCCCGCACTCCCCGAGCAGCGCGACGTTGGGCCTGACCACCCTGTCGACGTCGGTGGCGAGGATCGCGTTGCACCTCCTGAGGATCTTGAGGAGCATGTCGAAGGAGCCGAGGAAGGGGACCCAGAACGCGAGCTTCGGGGAGACGTCGGACGAGGCGAGGTGCGCCGCGCCGCCGGACATGAGGAAGCTGCGGATCTGGGGCGCAGACAGGTTGGCGCGGCCGCGGAGGGAGGCGATGCGGCGGGCGATGGTGCCGGGCCTCGCGCGGAGCAGCCGCGGCTCGGCGGCGACGACGGCGGCGAGGTCCGCGCGGGAGAGGGAGAGGGAGTCGAGGCCGGCGGCGGAGGAGGAGAGGAGGGCGAGCACGGCGTCGGGGTTGGAGGAGGAGTTGAGACGGGAGAGCTTCGGGGACGCCCTGCGCGCCTGAGCGGCGGTGAGGCCGCAGGTGGCGATGAGGTAGTGCTCGACGGAGAAGGGGGATCTTGCGGCGGTGGAGAGAAGGCGGTGGGTGAGGTGCAGAGGGGAGGAGGAGGCGGTGGAGGTGGCGGCGTGGAGCAGCGGGAGGAGGTGGTTGCGGAGGTGGAGCATGTCGCCGCGCCGGCGACGCCGCCGCCGCCGTCGCCGCGTGACAGCGTCGGCTAGGCACAAGGCTTTTGGTGGCTGTGGGGTCCTGATCCTCGACGGATTGAGATCTTCTACATTGCACCGTGTCACTGACATGTAGATCCGATGATTTCCGGTCTCATATGTTTAGTGATAAAGGCGTGGTGCAGTCGACCGTAGAGGATCTTAAAGTATCGATGCCTTAACACTACCAAGGTTTAATGAAAATATTGAAAACCGCAAAATTTCAAGGTTTTGAAGCGGGACAAAAGTAGATTACAAGTGAAATTTCGAAAGGATTTGGTGAACTAAAATTTAGAGTAGTAAAAATCAATCAAAATAACTCAATTTTTTTGAAAATTCGGCAAAAATTATGGTACAATCGAAATCCGATACTCAATGGAAAAAGTGAACCAAGCACACTAGTACTCTGAATCACTACAATACTATTAAATTAATAATTTTACTAGCAAAAATACCTGTGCGTTGCAACGGGAAGCATACAGACCAGAAAATTGAGAAAAAGTTAAGAAAAAAATTACATTATGTAATTAATTAAAATATAAATTTGCTAAAATATTTGGTATTTTTAAGTAGGTAGGTGTATAATTAAATCAATTTAAAAGTAAAGCAAGTGTGAGAAATAAAATGACATGGTTAAATTTTTATTAAATTCTCCTTGATTAGTTACGCTCTTTGAAATTTTATTGAAATTATCAGAGCTTAATTGCTAATTTTTAATAATACAAACATCATTTAACAATTATTTAATTGGAAAATGAATCAAAATCCTCGTTTTTAGTTTGGGCCGAATATAGAAAAGTTTATATAACCTCCCTTTTTTCTATTCAATCTGTCTGGCCTATTTCCTTTCTCCGTTGAAGTCCATTTTGTGTCCTCCATTCGGTGACTCAATAGGCCGGTGGCCCGACGTGGCAGCAACTAGAGCTGTCCGATCGAATGGACGGTCCAGATTAATCCTAACCTAAATAAATACACCCAAACCGTAACCCTAACCCTAGGATTCATTCTCCCCCTCCCCCTGCCCCCAATCTCCCCCGAGCGACGGCGGCGGTGACGCCACCCCCTCCCCCCTTCCCCCAAGCGGCTACGGCGGCGCGGAGCAGCGACCGGCGAGCGGCGCCCTCCCTTCCGGCGGGAGGGGAGGCGGTGAACAGGTGCGCCGGCGCCCTTCCCTTCGCCGGATCCAGCGGGATGGAAGGCGGCAGCGGCGCCCCCCCTCTCCCGGATCCAGCGGGAGGGGAGCTGGCGGCAGCCTGGCGTCCATGCGACGGCAGCGGCGGCAGCGGTTCGACGACGACCTCCGATTTTATTTGTGTGATTGAATTCTGATTGGGAATTTTTGTTGGTAGGGGTGATTGAATTCCGATTGGGAATTTTTTTTTGGGTGGGGGTGATTGAATTCTGATTGGGATTTTATGGGGGAGACGACGGACGAAAAATTGGCGTACGGACGAGGTGACGAACGGAAAAATACAAATGTTTATATTAATTTATTGTATCGATGGTTTAAGGTACGTCTGAAAAGTCATGAAAATTTTATTTATGATTAAACTTTTATTATATCTAAGTAATTGGATGTTGAAAAGAAATGCTAAAGAGTAAACTATGATAAAAGCACCCAACATAATCTTGATTCTACAATAAAAAAAGAACAAAAAAACAGAAGTAGAATTTAACTATTCATACGTAAAAAAAGAACCAAACTTTAACAATTCCATCGCAATGCTTCAGCAAAAAGATGACAAATATCCAACGTATGTAAAAAAAGAACTTGTTCAGTAAATTCATAATGGCATGATCCAATTAATCCATTTTCTAATGGAAAATTATTAAAGACATAGAGACACTATCTCCTCAGGATTATTCCTGATAACAACATAGCTTTTTTTTAACAACTCGCACGAGACGGTGCGAAGTTCTATTGATATGGCTGGAAAAAAATTACAAGATTACAACCTAGGAAGGTCGTAACCAGGAAAAAGGAAAAAATATACCACCACACCCACACACCGACAGTGTCAACACACAGGTTGGGGAGAAGGCTAGCACCAGACCAGCCGCCGCTAAGCATGACCGATCGCCGCTAGGCCAACAACGGAACACATACAAGATCGCCCAAAAAACGCTCTTACAACCAATACAAAGCCCAACTCTATCCACGTCTTTCGGATTTAGGGAGAGGGTGAGAGAGAAGATGGAACACCTCTGCCCCCTAGGTCCTCCGAGGTGGCCAACTTGTAGAAACTACGACGCCGCCACAAGAGGATGAGAATCTAGAGCGTGATTGCACCAATTGCTCGAGTGGTTTCGGCAAGGGGATGCCTAAACGACGTCTCCAAGAAGAGAAGCGACGGAAAACCGCCACCGCTGTCCGTCAAGGTCTCAAAAGAGCCCAGACTGGGCTTTCGCCCGGCAACCACCCTTGAGGGGTGAGACGGCATGACAAAGCCCTCAGGAGGGGGAATGACACTCGGGTGCCATCGTTGTCGGTCCGGCCAAGGCCGGGCTAGGTTTTCACCTGCCACTCACCACCTGCGAGTCCACGACTAACGCACCGATGCTCCACCACCATCTAACCTCTGCTGACATGTGGGACCACTGCACCGGCACCCCCCGTCAGTCAGCCTTCATGCGCCGTAGACCGTGCCACACCCACCGACAGCTCCTCCTCGCACCATGGTCGCCTCCTCCACCGCCGACCGTGCCTCTCGCGCCAAGCCAGCCTTCACCGCTGCTGGCCGCGCTTCCTCGCGCCGTGCTGGCCTCCGCTGCCATCAGCTACGCCTCTCTGCGCCGAGCTGGCCTCCGCCCCCTCCTCCAACCACTGCCGTGCCAGCCAGATGCGACCGTCTACCATGCCCCCGGCTAGCCGTCCGAGACCATCGTGCTTCCTCCCAGCGCAACCACGGCCACGGTCGCCACAGCAACCATAGCCACAGCCGTCACCGCCCCAGTCCTCCACCCCCAGCGCCACTAGCCCACCACCAACAGCGCCACGGCCGGATCTGGCGCTGGGGGGGGGGGGGGGGGGGGGAGGGGAGGGGGGCAGATCCGGGAGCCCCGCCATCAGATCCGTGGTCATCGCCACCACCAACCCTGCCGACATTGCCACCATTGCCACCCCGCCGCCATGAAGAAGGCCATAGCGAGCATAGCGTCCTCCACCTTCGTAGCTTCCTCTGGATCTGGCAGCCACCGCCGCCCGCCGCCTACATCCACGCGCCAGCTCGCTCGCACGGGCGACCCACCTCGATGCCATCTTCCCACCGCCCTGCCACAGCCCGCTGTCGACCATAGCAGCCGCGCCTCCATGCCTGCCGCAACCGCCGACGCCGCGCCCGCACCGCCACAGCCCAGATCCAGCGGCGGGGACATCGGATCCAGCTACGGGGGTGCCAGATCTGGCGATGGCGGCGCCGGATCAGCCGCCATGCGCCGGCGTCGCGTGGCCTTCCCGGCTCTCCGCGCCACCCCTTCACGCCGGGACGGCCACGCGCACCGGGGTTTGTAGCCTCGCTGCTGCCATCCCGGCAGGTCGCACGGTTTCCGGCGACACGCTCTAGCGGCGGCGAGGCGGGGGAGAGGAAGGGAGGGTGGCTGCGGCCGGGGGCTAGGGTTCAACCCCGGTCGGCCACTAACAACATTACTTGGAGCCGAAAAGAACTTGTGAATAGCACCCTTTTACGATTCAATAAATTGAACTTCTCGTTATTGTTTTCCTTTTTTTTTCTTAGCACCTAACAAATGCTTCTTATAGTATGCAACATTAATTCTAAAATCTAACATTTGAAGCTATGAAAGATAAGGAATATACAAACAAAACTAAAAGAATCCTAATCTGCTAACTAAAGAAGTAATGGAGTAATGTACCACGAGATCTTAAATCAGAATCAACGGAAGAGGAGTGAGTCAACCCGCCCCTGCTTGCCTGTGCAGTGACGGTGGGAGCGTGGAGAGATGCTGCAAGGTGGCCACGAGTCCGCTACACCGTCGGTGGCAGTACCATAGTGTTACGAGTAAGACCTCTGTTCGCCGCTAGTCTGAAGATAAGGAGTAGTCTTCGCCGCTAGACGGAGAAGAGTGCTACGGCGAACAGCAACAGTAGATACAACTTATTATTACCTATGTTATAAAATATAACGATATAACGACTACGAATCTTATCCTAATCGCTCAATACTACCACAACACTCTCTGTATAACACTCTGCTATGATGACGAGAATAATGGCGATAGTAAAGGACTACCATGCCTCTTCTCTCCTTATTGAACTAAGATCGTCTATTTTCGAAGTCACCTAACTTCAAACCTAGAGTATCCTGATCCCCACTTAAATATGACGCTTGTTGTATTATGTTTTTACGGACGTCAGATCAACTTTTGTCAATGTTTAAATTATTTCCTTTATTTTTTGTTTTGGATTAATGTTGCAGCACCTTATAATAATATAATAAATGTTCCAGACTGATTTGGTTGTTGCAGTATGTGTTTCTAGCTGTTGTTGTACTGTTCTTATCAAGAAATATTGCTTCCTCGCTTTCTTCTTTTCTTTTGAGTTAATTGGACTTATAACTACGAGTTTATCCTTGAACAAGATCCATATTCCTATTTTCTTACGGTAAAAATTTCTTTAAAACAAATTTGATCATCGAAAATGATATGCAGACGTACTATTGAACTCTAATGATAAGCTGGATTGTTGTACAAAATGCGTTACACAACACACATGATAAATTGATAATTGATAATTGTTTAATTATCATCAGATATATGTTGGCAACGTCAATGTGATAACTGTATGTGTTCACTTTTCTGAAGCCAAGTGGAGTAATGCATGCACCTTCAACAGTTCAACCAAATATAAGCCCGGGACATTAAAAAAATGTGTAGTAAGAAGATGTAAGACCTTTGCTAAGGATTTAAATCACACAACTTCACATTTCTAATGCAGTTTGTTGTTTGCGAAATACCAGCTCTCTACTGTTGGACGGACATCTGAAAAAAAAAGAAAAGATAGTCAAGTACATCAGCGTTACAGTATCACCCAGCTATTTCTGCAATGGAATTGCCAAGCATAGAGTGATCTCATGGTGGACTGATGCTAACACTAACACATGGGAATTTCATAATTTGGATCGTACTTCATTATTGTGGAGACAGTGCAGATTTGAAATTGAAATGTACTGCCTCTATTTTTTAAATAGATGATACCGTTGACTTTAAATATGACGTTTGACTATTTATCTTATTTTAAAATAAATAAATAAATTTAATTTATTTTGTTGTGATATGCTTTATTATCAAAGAAATTTAATTCAAGTATGAGTTATACTTTAGCATATTTACACTAAATTTTTAAATAAGATAAATGATCAAATATTGATTAAAAATCAATGGTGTCATCTATTTAAAAAATGGAGATAGTATGTACCCTGAAATAGAAAATGTCGGCAAATTCCAACCCAACGGAAGGAGTGAAGATACTAAACAGGCCCTTAGAAATAAAATTTTGTAAGGTCTATTAATAAACTATTGATTTAAAAAGGTCTAAAAAATTAAAAAAGTGATGCATATTTGTTTGGTTTGTGCTTTATTCGATCAGACAATAGTATAGTGTAAATAGTTTATGTATGTTCTAATTTGTATCGTTTCAGCACCACAACTAGACAATATACCTGCCAGTACATCCTAATATTATGATAAAGGAATATGTTTACCTACACTTCACATGCTTTCTATGTGACCGCGTCATCGCGTATCACAAAGTTAGGCTATCTCATTGCAAGAAAAATCAAGAGCGCCAAATGAACTTACCACGCGATGGTTGTCCGGGCTGTAGTGCAGTTTGTGAAACAGCACCCTGCAGCCCCATGATGATAGATGCCTGGACAGAGATCTGAACAAATGCCAATTATCCCCGAGTTATTTCAAGAATGGAATTGCCAAAGTATTGCCAGCAAATAGTGATCTCTGAGAACTGACATGCACAGTACCGGAACCCATGGGAATTTGCCAAATTCCAATTAGTACTGGCAAGGATAACACATGGGAATTTGGATCGTACGTCATGGCTTCACTCTTCATTTATTGTTGTGGAGAGAATGCAGATTTGAATTCGAACTCATGCACCCTGCCTGAATTAGGAAGTGTCAGAAAATTCAAAACCAATGGAAGGGGTTATTTATCTCACTATCTGTAGATCCGAAACTTTTCATTCAGGATTAAGTTTATAAAAATAGTGATATCTTCTACCCCCTCCATTCCAAAAAGAATCCAATCCTAGCAACGAACCTGGACACGCAGGTTCGCTGCTAGGATTGGATTCTTTCTAGAACGGAGTAGTAAATCCTTATGCATGAACATTCCCTGCATTTTGGTTGGGTTACGCCACCTTTTAATAAGAGCTGTTCCATCAAATACAACTATACAAGTGGGTAGTGGGGTGCTTATAGTCGTAGATATGAATAGACAATTAGCAGTGCATTGCCTGAACTCAGAAGAAAGGAAGAGTCCCTTTTTGAGTTTAACATGAGCGCCTCGTACCAGGAGTTCTCCGTTCCCCGCGACCCAGTTCTCCAACATCGCCGCTTCATCTTCTCCTGAAGACGTTGTTGCTGCCACGACACCATCCCTCACCTGGCAGAGGAGAGAGGGTGTGGCGAGCCCTCGGTGAGTGGGCGATGGCGCACTGGTGCCCTGACATTCACAAACATTCATAGGATTAGAGAACTTAAAACTCTATTTAATTATTTGACTGAACCATTTATGAGAATATGAGCTTTGCATCCCCTGGGGAAAAAAATGATTTTGTTCCCCAATGAAATTTCATCCAGAGGAAAAAGATGATTCATATGCTGCCAACTGCAACGGTAGCAGCAGTCTGCCGTCCTGGAGACATGGACGAACAAGAGATGTGATTCTGTTTACGGGTTTTAAACAGCGGGTCAGCGGCAGTTCAGTTGTGATGAGTTGTTAATTACTCAGTGATTCTTGTCGTGCCTGTAAAAAGTAAAGGAGTCATTCCTAGCGTTTGCTTATTCATTGAAAATACACAGTTACTTGATTTGTGCCTTATACGGACAGTAGTAATTTGCATCACAGCACCTCAACTACACAATGTACTGGTTAGTGCATCCTTATATTATGGTAAAAGAACCTACTCCCTCCATCCCAAAATATAAGCATTTTTAGCATAGTGACAAGTCAAACATTTTCAATTTTGACCATTAATAGCAAAAAAATACAAAAAAGATCAATCATGTATAATTGATGTTACTAGATTTATTATTAAAACAATCATAATATGCAACTCTTTTTATTTAAAGCATCTTACTTTTATAGATATTGTTGGTCAAAGTAGCATATCGGAGACCGTGTCAGGATAAAAAATGCTTATATTTTGGGACGGGAGTATATTTCATATGCTTTGTATGTAACCGCACACAACAAAATTAGGCTTTCATCTACTCAAATAGGCCCAGAAAATCTAATGGCTCATTTGTTCAGTAACAGGAACAAGAGTCCGTAACACCATAATGATGCACCTCTAGTGTTAGCATGCCAAGTTGTACTCCCTCCGTTTTTTAATATATAACGCCGTTGATATTTTAAGATATATTTGACTATTCGTCTTTTTCAAAAAAATTATATAACTATTATTTATTTTGTTGTGACTCGATTTATCATCAAATGTTCTTTAAGCATGACTTAAAACTTTTTATATTTACACAAAAATTTTAAATAAGACAAATGATCAAAACATTTGTCAAAAAGTGGACGGCGTCATACATTGAAAAACAGAGGTAATAATATTTATGGAGTACTAAATTAGCAACCGAACAACTCATCGTGCCCTTGCAGGAGCATTTCGATCATTAGACACCCCCAAGAAAAATAAAGAGTGTCAAATGACAAACTTACCAGACCACAGGTTGTCCAGGCTGTAGCTTCTTAGGGTAGGCAGCTATTCCAACTTTATCATACCTGTGTCTGACAGGACCAGAACAATAAAATCTTAATGGAATAAGTAGAGATTTTCAAAACAAAATTAATTGTACTAGTAGTTGTTAGACCTGGATCATTAATATTGTAACACATGCATAATTATAAATCAATGTTTATTATTTCAGGAATTTATATTTTTAAACTTAATAAGTCCATTAAACATTCGTTAGAGTCTCTATGTAAGCATTAATGCAGAAATTAGCAATTAATGATTTCTTTGTCATAATTGAACCCATCCAAAAAAACGATGAATCTTCGGTGAATATGTTCAGCGATACCCTCAAAGTTTTTTATCCAACACACACACATACTAGTAAGGCCTAACTTTTTGTATGACTGATCCAAAATATAACTATTGCAGATGTAAATCTATCGTAACTTACATGAACCACGCTATACTTTCATCAGGTTTGGAAACTTCGATAAGCTTCCAACGGATGCACTCAATCTTTTGCCAGTTTTCTCCATTAGGTGCCTGGCAGCTTCTTTTCAAGCACTCGCAGTCTTGTATTTCAATTTGCTGGATAGAATTAGGGAAATCTGGTAGAGATGATAAGTTGGGGATCCTGACAAATTTGATCCTCTCCAGACTGGACAGGTTCTTCAAACTGCTTGGCAGGTACATGACTTTAGAATCCCTGAACTCTAGAAACTTGATAGATGTGAAATTTGCAGAGCTTTGAAATGTAATGGATGGCTCGTCGTATTGTTCAAAACAGAGTTTCTCTGGGAGCATGAAATCCTTTATAGAGAGCATGAGACTGAGCATAGCAGAGCTACTAATAGCGAGTGATTTCCATGCATGATGCCGGGAAAAAGACTCTGCGGTAAGATTTGGAACATTTATCAGATGTATGTCCTGGAGATGTGGACATGATAAGCCTTCAAGAAAGCACAAGTCTGGCATGTTATTCAGTGAGAGTGATTCCAGGGAACGCAGATGACCAATAGCAAATGATGAAGAGCTTCGGCAGCATGTGATGGAAATGCTACGCAGACGTGGGAAGTCAGTACTGAGGAAATTGGCCCCTAGTATGCAGCCAAATAGAGAGAGCTTTCCAATAGAGGATGGCATAACAGCTATTCCATTTTCATCCACCAACTCTAATGAGATGCATGAATCTATCTTAACTTCTGAAAGGGAGGTTGCCTCTCGTAAGCCACCCAATGATCTGAGGCACCAGCAAGAACGGATATATAATCTTTTAAGCATCGTCAAGCGCTGCAGCACCTGCGGTGATGGGAACGAAGTTAAGTTCATAATTCGCTCTATAGACAACCATTTCAGCGAGGTGAGTCCTTGAAGGCAAACAGCTAAAGCTCCATCTGTGAGGTTGCATGAAGAAAGAGAGAGATTCTCAATCGATGATGGGAGAAGCAACAGATTCTCAGTGGGTCTTGAATAGATAAGTTTCGTCCTCTTCTCTTGGCAGTACAACCATGCTTTTATGATATTTTCTTCCAACAATACTTCCTCTCTTTCACTTTCTATAGCACTTTTTATGGTTTGGAGTTGTGCGGATATATCATCATCCATCAATGCCATCAACTGCTTCAGAGATGAATGTTCGAACACCAACGTGTCCCTGACCTTTTTACTAATCTTTGATCCTCTCTTTGCCTCCAGGATCCTTGCAAGGGTGGATGACAAATTGCCCACTTTCATCAAATCTGTATGTTGTACATCCTGTCCAAGTTCTTCCCTAGAAATAAATCTAAGCAACGGGCAACCCATCATATTTAAGGATACAAGGCCTCCTGGAAAGCATGGTAATGTCTTCAGATTCAGGATGTTGCGGAGGGCTATATGACGGAAATGCTTGATGAGCTGTACACTGGATGGTAAACATTCCAGGGAAGTGCAATTACTAAGCACAAGGGTCTTTAAATTAACAAAATAAGAATCTTCGAGCAACCAGCTTGGATATACTGGAGATCTGTAGCCTGTAACTATAAGGTCATTAAGTTCACGAGGTGGCTTGAGACCCTCTAGAACCTCCAAATGCAAATTGTCATTTATATGCAAGTCATCTATGTAACTCCAGGAAAGTTCCAAACGATCAAGCCGACTTTTATTATGCAGCATCGCCTCCAAAGCCTCATCCTTCGTTCTGACATTTTCGAGATAGTTAATTTGTAAAATGTTTCTAAGCTCTCTCATGTCCCTTAACTGCTGTAGTTCATAACCTATCTGTTTTGCCACAGAGAATTCCAAAACATGTTGGAGTTTCGTCAACTTACCTATATAAGGAATTTGAGGCACAGGTAGTTGTGCAATTGGTCCAAATGAAAGACTAGGAGAGCATCTTTCAAGATGCCGCAATTTACTTAAGTTGCAGATCTTCGCAGGCAGATTGTTAACATCACGATGTACCCGAAGGAACTGTAAATGGTAAAGAGTACACAATGATCCAGGTAATTCAGAAATTGAAGTTTTGAGGATGTTCAAATACCTCAGGTGCTTGAACTCATCAATAGACTGAGGCAACTTCCTGCTATTGTAAAAGCACAAAAGCAATACTCGCAATTTCTTCATGTTACAGAATACCTCATGAAATAGTTTATTTGCATCATCCATTACTGGTTCCATGAAGATAACAGTACGCAAATGAATCAACTTGCAGATGCTTTGTTTATGCTGTCCCATTCTATCAACGTAAACAGACAAATGTTGAACAGTGTGCGGAATTTCTGTCACCATACAGTCTTCTAATCTGAAACAGTCTCCTCTGGAAAGTGTTTCCGCAAAGTCATGAATAATATCATGCATACTATATGATGTATCAAAGCTTTTAGGAACTGGCTGAAAGAAACATGCAGATACCATCTCACGGAAGTACGCCCTGGCAATATCTTCTACTGTCCTACTCTGATCGGATGAATTGACATCAGATGAATCAACAACAAACCCCTCTGCTACCCAGAGGTGAACCAACTCATTAATTACAAACACATGACCTTTTGGAAATAAGCTGCAATACATAAAGCACCTCTGTATGTTAGGATCTAGATTCTGATAACTCCACAGTAGAGATCCCCTGGTCTCACCTAAGTTATCACTCTTCAGAGCATCTTTCCATGCAGTGATAGTCATGTTCCTGCTCAACTGAGAACCAACAACTTTTGCTGCCAGAGGAGATTGTCCAAGCTTTTGAGCTATTCTCCCTGCAATATCTAATAGCTCCTCGCTTCTGTGCTGCTCTCTCATTCCTGCTCCAGAAAATGCATGGTATTTGAAGAGTGCCAGGAACTCAGTGTCCTTCATGTTCTGCAAAGGAAAAACTTGTTTACAACAAAGGGGAGCTGGGAGTCTCCCTGATCTAGAAGTAACCAAAACTTGGCTTCCCCGTTGCTGAGAAACTAGAGGAGCTAGCAGTTTTGCCCATTCCTCCTCGTCCTGGAAACCATAAAACCAAACATCATCCAACACAAGTAGGAACCTCTGTGACTCTTGTAAGACGCCTCTCAGCGCGCACTGGAGATTGTTAAGGTTAGTAAAATGCACAACTCGATTATTGTTTGTGGCAGACTCCATGATCTCGGCTGTATGGCGATGCACGTCGAGTTTACGAGAAATACAGATCCACATCCTTACATCAAAATGATTCACCACACGCTCATCATTGTAGATATACTGTGCCAGCGTGGTTTTCCCTGCACCTCCATGTCCAACGATGGCCGAAGTACAGTAGTTTCTCTCACCACTAGTGTTAGTGTCATCTGGGTTGCAGAGAAAACTTATAATATGGTCACGATCTGCGTCACGACCAAATACTTTTGAAGTGGGAAGCGATGTGGTGATGGTACTGCTGCTGCTGTTGACATGAGGCCCTGTGATGGCTGCTGCAGTAGTCCCTGCTGAAAGGAACTCCCGATGGAAGTTCTTGGCTTCCACCAGGATGTTCTTCAGTTCTGTCAACTTACGGAGTAGTCTTCTGTTGGCAGGGAGCAAATTGGACGCGGTAGACACCAAAGCAAGGCGAGAGTTGGAGGTTGAGGGCATAGAAATGTTTCCAGTTGCTTTGCGCTGGAGGAGTTTGTACTCATGCATGTCGAGCAGGTCCTCGGCATCATAGAAGGCTGCTTTGAGCTTCCAAAGCCAGCGCTCTAACTCCATCCGGCGGGGGCTCCTCTCTGCCGCTTTGATCACGAACCTGAACTGTGGTATGACGGTGGTCTCAAGATCGTCCAGCTCCTGTGCCATGTCCTTGCCAAGGTATGTTTTAGCATCGTTGATGATCTTCCGCATGATTGGCGACACGACCCACCCTGAGCCCGCCAACACCACCACTTCTGCCATTGTACTGCAAGTCTGCAACTTCACAACTCAGTCAACTCTCCCTTGCCCTGTGTCTGCCAGCTTGTGACCCATCTGTGTTTCAGTGATTTGTTTTGTCACAGGTTTAACTAGACAAATATGATGGCATGAGAAGTTGAGTACTGATTGAGTGGTTCGTTCCAACTTCCAAATCCGGTGTGCTGATACTGGTTTCAAAAAAAATCTAGTGGCAGCACCCAGCAATTGAGCGAAACTGCAAAACCTAGCGATCAAGTTAGATTCCAAAGCCAAATTTCTGATGTGTGCACATAAAGATAAGTTATCATTGCAGTCAGACTAGCCTGATGTATTGTTTTCTAAAGAATTGGTACATGTCTGCAAATTAATACTCCCTCCGTCCAAATGTAAGTGCAGTTGTGGGTTTCTGTGTCCAACGTTTGACCGTCCGTCTTATTTGAAATTTTTTAATGATTAGTATTTATATTGTTATTAGATGATAAAACATGAATAGTACTTTATGCATAACTTTTTTTTTATTTTTTTCATAAATTTTTCAAATAAGACGGATGGTCAAAGTAACGTTGGACACAGAAACCCACAACTGCACTTAAATGGGGCAGAGGGAGTAGAGTATATCATTGGAGACCGATGACCAAATGTACATGGTTATAGTACAGTTGCAGCCTACCGTGAATGCAACTTCAATTAAAACACATCAACATGAGGGTATAAAAGTGTTATCAGCAGTTTTAGTAAAATGCAGCCTCAATTAAAAAATATCAATATGGGAGTACAAAAAAGTGCTTCATATGCTAACTGTTGCTTTCCTGTAAATGCAATTATACAGCAGTTTTAGTACACTTACAGCTTACCTGTAAATGCAACCTCAATTAAAAACATCAGCATGGTGATATAAAACTGCCAGATGTGACTATAAGTGATATCAGGAGCCCGGTTGATACCCTTTTAACAAAATAAAAGAAACACACAGATAATATTTTTGCTATTTATCTATTGCCTAGTTTATTTTCCTTGTTTATCAGTCACCTAAACTTGCACAATCGATGGACCTACAAGCAACTCTTCTTCAACTTGTATTTTAATATGTGGAGATTTATATCTACACAAGGGCATATAGGTGTGTTCTTTTAAACTTCTCTACACTAAAGAAATTGTTTGTATTGTATATGTGGGGATTTACTGAGGTACAATTCCTTTATTGTGAGAACAGTGTTTATTCATCCCAAGAAAAAGAAACATACGAGTTGTGGGATGTTGATATAATAGTTGGTAAAAGAGCTGGTAGATAAAAAAAACAGAAAGTCAGTTGATGAAATATAAATGCAATTCCAAGAGAAATAAAGTGAGCCTCCCTGCGGGCATGACGCACCCGGGTAGCTGAGCGGCAAGGAGAAGCATTGTCCAATGGAGGATGCACCAAATAAATACTTGTACACTTCAAGTACAATACGAAATTTCTTCAAATGGCTGGAAAAGAAAATATCTGTATCAACACAAAGCAAGAATATGCCAATTTCAAATTCTCAAATGGGTGACGAAGTTGTAAACTTCGCCTTTTAACTCTCTCTGGTAAAATTCAATGTACGGAGAGTCAAGAGAGACACAGATAAATCATACTCAATCAATAATATTGTAAGAACACATTGTAGAAGCTATATAGAAGCTGAGCTTCTGCAACTACATAAGAACAGACATGGAAAGCGAACTACGGCATTTCGTCGAACACGTCACACGCAGAACCCAATCCATCAGCAAAGACGCTGAGCAAGACGTACCTGTACCAATGAATCCCAAGGGAGATCCTCCCCGTTGAGTGCGGAACCGACATCCCGAGTCGCCGTGGGGATTCAGCGACGTGATGTGACCTCATCCCGATAAGAGACCCTCTGCCCCAGCGCCGGCGACCGACCATGGCGGCCTCGGTCGGCGGGGCTCGTGGTGGTGTGCGACCCGCGCCAAGAAGGAGGGCACTTCGGCAATCGTCACCACCGCCGCCGCCGCCTGCACTCCCATCCCGGAAGCGATGGTCGTCGGCGGCGGCGGCGGCACTTGCCGTCGAGTTTGCTCCGCCCAGCCTTGGAGGCTTCGACACGTTGACATGGAGAATGGGCCGGGCCCTTGTTGGATAGGGCCTGGCCCATCTTGAAGGCCCACAGGAAGGCGATTTTTCATCAAATTTAAATGTTGTTCGTGCTGTCCAAGCTCAAGCTGTTGAGCTCTTCGCTGGAAACAAACGTAAGCAATGGGAAACCCTCTATTTCATCAAATTCACAATCACCAGTTCAATCACGCTAACTGTAAGACATAATTCTTATCAGAATAATAACTTGTGAATTAGTGGTCTTAATACTCCCTCCGTCCATATTATAAGGGATTTTGGGTGGATATAACACAGAGTCTGTCCAGATTCGTGCTACTAGAATGTGCCACATCCACTCAAAATCCCTTATAATATAGGACAGAGAGATTACTTTAAGAGCAAATATAGAAGAATAAAATACGATGGGAAAATCACGAAATGAATTTTTGAAATTTAAATTTTGGCTGCGCCTTTACAAGTTGAAGGGTAAACTGTGGTAGTATGAGATTGTTAACGTCTCGGTGTACAGCTACAGGTAACATGTACAGCTTCAGGTAATACACTCATTCATAGGAACTGTAAATGGATCCAACAGCACCAGGTAATTCAGAAAATTTGAAGCTTTGAGGATGCTCAAATACCGTATGCACTTCAACTCAGTAATAGTTTTGACGCAACTCAGTACAGTTGTAATAGCACAAAAATCAAAACTCGCAGTTTCTTCAGATTACCGAGTAGCACCTCATGAATTGAAACATATGACGGTGCGCAAAAGAATCAGCTTGCAGATGCAGAGATGCTTTGTTATAGAACAGCATAAACAAACACTGAACAGTAAGTTCGGTAAAAAAAAAAAAACTAAACAGTAAGATGAAGCCCTAAAGGACAAAACCAAATCTTTAGGTATGATTTTTTTTAGTTTTCAACGCTTAGCTCGTTTTCACCTTGTTTAAGAAACTAGGAAGAAAGCCCGCGCAGTTGCGCGGGCAATTTATTTATTGTTTAAAAAAACCTAAAAAAACATTATATCACCATATTCACTATAAGAAATAAACCATAAATTTTGACATACTAAATTATAATAATGTCCATCATATCCAAACAAAAATCTTTTTGCCCTCATCTATCATCACTACTTATTATCGTTGTCTTGAAATATAGATATTTTTTAATAGTTAGAACTGCATCTCTATCCACAAATAAACCCAATACATAATTAATACCATATAAAATTCATATGTACTTCATATGCAAGTACTCATACCTTACAGGTATCCGAATCTATATGTAAATATTTAAAAATACCACATCTACTAATTAATTAATATGATAAAAACATTAACTTATATATGAATGTCCCTTTAATAACCGGTGAAGCCGACTATAGCCGCTAAGCCTTTTTTCTCCAATGCCTTGATTCATGTGTGCCTTATTGATATAGTTGTGCTCCTCACGACAACCTTGGAGCACAATTTTATAAAGGATTGCATCGGTAACTAGGCTAGTTGAGCTCTATTATCAATGGTGACCTCTTACTCGGACCACTTCTGCTCAATAATGCGTACTTTTGCCGTAGTTACTACAATGTAGCCAGTTGAGGTCCATGCTTGGCGCCCTTTAGGGTATGAGTAAGAGAAAATGCAGGTGATGAAAATATTTTTTAAATGTTTTGAATCGATTTATTTTATAGAGTATACATAATTTATTTATGGTGTTAATCGATACTACTAAATTTTAGTGGTACATATATAATTTTCTCTTTTAAAGATTAGCAGAGTTGATCATTGGACTCTACTTTGAAAAATCCAATAGGTTCAGTGGTGAGGACCACTAAAAAAATATTTGGTCAAATTGTGATCTTTTGCTAACATACAAGTTAATATAGGTTTTGATTTTTTTTCTTCTATTATACATCTAATTTACCTATGCATATTCATGGGACTAACATTTGATGAAATTTGTTAAAATTATTTGTGCTAATTGTTAACACTATTTGGTAGAGAACGACATAAAAAGAGATATAATGTAGTTACATCTATGTTTTTTTTTCTAGTGAACAGTAGTCTCTCGTGTGGATGTTTATTTTTTCTTTTTTTTTTCTTTTTGGATGATTATTTGTCAATCATAAGAATAGGATGTACATTTTTCTATTCATAGTGTGCATCTGCATGGATTTATATGAGCTTATGTGATCGCCTTTTAAATTGTTAGTAAATAATACTTTAAAAAATTTGACAGGAAGAGGGTGGAGCAACGGGTGGCATGAGGTGGTGTCATGGTGTGGCTTATTTTACCACCTTGCTAGGAGTGGTCACTACATCTATGCTCAATTTAGAAAATAAACCTTATAGTCAGAACAAATGAGAAAACTACCATATAGGACAGTCATATACGCACTCTTCTTTTTTTTATTATTTTTATATATCTAGCGTATGTATGTACATAGGAGTTGTGTATGTACGTAAGGAGAGATTAGACGGTTTTTAGATAGAGAGATTATTGTCATAGATCTAATTTAATGGTTGAAAATAATGGAATCGCTAATTTTGAGGTGTAAATCGATGAATAGTTGTTTTTCTTTTATTTTATAGTTTTTCCTAGATACTCTCTAATTAGAGCGTCACATAACATCTTAGAAGCGTTTGTAGGAGTATAGAAATGCTATTACCCATAGTCACAATCTACTTGTAGTCAACTATTGTTTGTGGTGGATTATGCAACCTCTACTTGCCTATCATTTGTTGATCGTTGCACACTTAGTATTGTCCTTTATCTTCGGTGCTTGACGACATACATGCTCATTAGATATCAGTTAACCGTTAGCCGTTAGGTGCATTGTGTATGAATATCTTGTAAGTGATATGACTTAGCGATTAGTAAAGAGTGACCTGTATATAAAACTTACATATATGGGGATCAGTGATGACATGCAATTGATATTTTAGGCTAGGATATTGACCAATTATATTGCGTACTACATATTAAGTTTTTAATACCTAAGTAATAAATTTAAGGCAGTGTTGTAAAGTGCTTATAGGATTAACTACTCCCTATTTATAGCGAGTACGTTTGTCAAACTACTATACGGTGTATTACACAGTACGTGTTTTACAAACTTTTTATATAAAAGTTTTTTAATAAATCGAATAGATTCATTTGTATTTTTTAATATTTAATACCCAATTAATCCTATGCTAATGACATGTATCATCTTGCACGTCCTGGATAAGCACAGCTAATGAGCTAAATCGATTTAAACCTAAGTAGGAGATAAAAGACATCGACACGATTTGAAAAGAATATATTTGATCCTTAATTTCTAATGATATATAAATAAAGATAACTCACAATACGTGAAAATACATTCATGATAATTTTAGTAATATTATTTTGATATATCAATTATTTTTATAGTAGGGAGTGAGTAATTTTGGGAAAGAGTAATTTTGGGAAATGTTACTCACAACTGAAGTTGTTTTATTTTTAAAAATGTAAGTCTAATTTCACTATACAACATACAATTATATAATGCATATTATTCATTTATTTAGATTTTTATGGATGTTTTGATGATGTGCGTATTGTAGAATTTAACTCAAAATAGCATATATTTTGACAACTATTAGTTGAAATTATTAATTTGGTTTTTATCTCATGAGAGAGAAAAAGAAAAAAAAATAAGGGAAGGGGGTGGCCACGTATGAGGTATGTACGTACGTGCACGTACAGGTTCGGGAGGGATTGTTATGGACGTGCAGCTTTTTAAAGATAAATCTATTTGGTATTTTAGATTTAACGGTTAAAAATATGGACCTACCAGATTAAATGAAAATCAATGGCTAGATGTTTTTTCAAAACTTTCTAATTTATTAAAGTGCCACTTGGCGGCTTAGGAGCGTTTGTAGAGATGCCATGTGGCGGTTTAGGAGTGTTTGTAGGAAGTTTAATAGACTTTTAGTATATAAAGATAGATAGATAGATAATAAATAATAGATAGATAGATAGATAGAAGATAGATAGATAGATAGATAGATATCTCAGACCATACCATCCACATCTATCTGCAGCTTATCAAAACTGGACAGCCTGCATTCTACTGTAGCTTATGAACCACTCACACATCCTCAACTTCTCTTACAAAATTGCTCGTGTACAGAGTGAACTGTTATATATATGCTTCTTCGTGGATTCGGTTCACATATACCAGACATCAGCTGCAAGATTAGGCCTCAATTTCCGATCACTGTTTGTACATGATAACCCCAACAGCAGTAACTTCATGGCATCGCCTGGTGTCCAGCTCTCAGGGGGGCATCCTTGGATCAACGATTTTCAGCTTTCTTCTATACTGCACTTGGTTATCTTTACTCCGGTGAGCCCTCTTATGTGAACCCAAGTGCCATTTTAGTTTATTTATAATGAAAAATTAGCAAGTGCTAAAAGAGTGTGTATTTTGACTAACATGAAGATGAGAAAACGATTGAATCTGCTTGCTTTAAATAGGCTTATAAATACTGACTGAATTGCTAACAAATTGATAACCGAAAGATCTAACAAATCCTATCTTCCTATATAGTTGGTACCCACTAAAAAGCATTTACTCCTATAAAGCAAGACATGCAAGAAGCCACATCATCGATAATTTTAAGCCATTGGATCGCATTAGTATAGAGTTATCAGCCATGCATTGGATCAAGAAGCTGGCTACTCATCCATTCACTTCCCTTTAGCTCATAATCACTCGTGACATTGTTATCCATTATGTACATCCAAATCCTCAAAGATAATACTAATCTTTTTTTTAAATACAACTTCAATTATTACATAAGATGTGAGCTTTCTTTTGTTATAAACAATTGGATAACATACAATAATTAGGTATCATGAATCCAAACCAATTTTTGAAACATACTTGAGATGAAGCAGAGAAGTGCTACACTACCTAATTGTGACAGTATCCAGATTGTACATGAAAATAACTTTCATATATCATAACAATACATAATGACGTTTCAAAAAATAAAACATAAATTGTATCGTAATAA